GGGGCCCAGGGGCGCGGGCGGCCGCCGGCCCGGGTGAGCGGCGTCGGGGCGCATAGCCCCTCCCCCCCAGCATCTCCCCACCTGCCCGAGCATCCCTCCTCCGCGCGCCGTGGACATGATCTGAGTCCCCTGGGGTCTCCCCGGCTAGGGACAGGTGGGGTGGGAATAGAGGATAGAACGAACCCCCAACCCCAAACCTATCCAGCCTCCGCGCCATGCGTGGGGCTTACCACCAGGCCTTGTCCTTTCTAGGCCCCCCTCTTTGGGCACGGTGACTGGACCGCAGGGAGAGAGAAGCGCGGCCTTGGAAGGGTTAAAGCATCGGCTCCCACGGGCAGCCTGGCCAGCCTTTGCTGGGACCTGCAGCCTGGCCAGCCTTTGCTGGAACCAGCAGGATACCCCTTCCCACCTTTCCTACCGCCTTCAGTTCTCCATTCAATCACGTAATGGCCAGCGCTGTCCCTGGCCTGACAGAGAGAGCTCAGAAGTGCTAAGCGCTTCCCCATCCCCAAGAGTCCTCCATCGAGGAAAGAGTTGTCATTGCCTCTAAACAGGGAGGGAAACTGAGGCACAGTCAGGCCAAGTAAAAGAGACCAGGTTAAAGATACTGCAAGAGTAAAGCAGTACTTAAACTCGTTTCTGCCTGACTCCAGAACAGATGCTTTGATTTACTAAAATACTTGACCAGAGACTGAAAAATATTAGCAAGGGACATGCATTGAGAGCTTACTGTGTACCAGATACCATGTTTCCTGCATTATAATTCATTTCCTCTGCAAACACCCCTGGAAAATGAATAGTTAAAATTGTCATTTTACAGATGAGCAAACTGAGGCCCGGAGAGGGGATATGACTTGGCCAAGATGGCACAGGGGGTAGCCATGTGCTCACTTATAGTACATGGAAGAAGGGAAGAATAACATCAAATTTGGGCATGTCTACCAAAAAGAGAAATCTATACTTGATCAAGACCCAGACCCTGCCTTTCTAGAATCTAGTGGGTAGCTTGGGCCAGCAAGTGGCATGGTGGCCCAGGTGCTGGACTCCCACATGGCCTACTGTAGTTCAAGTCCACTTGGTGGCTTGTTTTTCACTTTCCCTGTTTCTGTCTCTCACTGGTGAATTAAAATAATGATAATAATAATAATGATAAATTAAAATTTAGAAAAAGAAACTAGCGGGTGGCAACTATCTGAATCTTTTATAAAGGAGACACTGACCTCCTAACTCCCTCCTTTTTTTTTTCTTTAAGGTTTTTGCCATAGGGTGCGTGTGTGTACCAGAGAGAGGCATAGAGAGATAGTGAGAGGGAAAGTGAGAAATCACTCCCCAAAGGGAGATGGCCATGCCACAATCCCTTCTCTTCCATTCTCCTCCTGGGGTTCTGGGCATGCACGCACACATGCCCAGCATGGTTTGCAAGCTGCTGGGTCTGGGACTCGAACCATGGTCGGCCATGTGGGAGTCCAGCACTGTAACCACCATGCCACCTGCTGCCCCCCCCCTTTTTTAAGTTTATTTCTTCCATGAACAAGAGAGACATAGACAAAGACAGAGAGATAGTACTTCCCTCAAGGTCCCACAGCACAGTCCACCTCCAGCCTCAGCCAGCCCTGATCATGGAGATATGTGTGCCTGGTATACTCAGGGAGGTCCCCTCACATGAACTTGGAACTTTCCCATGTGGGTCAGCATCTCAGAGTGTCACCTATTACTGTGTGCCACCTTCCAGCCCCCTTAACTCCCCCTTTATTAGTCTTAAGGATGAAGATGTATCTGATGTCACCCACCTCCTCCAATTTCATATTTACGATCCAGCTGTGTTCTCAAGCATAGCTCTGGAGTCAAACACTATGTCAGGTAGCTATAGCCACAAGACTGCTGCCTAACAGATCATCCAAATCCAGTGTCTTCAAACACTAAGCATTGGAGGCCAGTAGTGGCATAGTGGTTAAGGCAGTGGACTCCTACATGGCCAACCATGATTCAAGTCCTGGACATCATGACTTGAAAATCATGCTGGGCATGTATGCATGCATGCCCCAAGTCCCAAGAAGGGATTGTGGTGTGGCCATCCCCCGGGGGGCAGGGGTGACTTCTCTGCTGGGTTGACTCACATGTTGGGTCAGAGTGAAGGTGGTGGTGGCTGTCCTAGCTGGCCTTGGCTGCAGTGACTGATGCCTTGTCCCTCAACCAGTTGAGACATGTTTTTCTCATCATCGGCCATAGCTGCATACAAGCAGAAACACGCAAGGTCTCTGGAGTCCTAGGCTAGAACTGGCACACCAGCACATCCACCTAAGTCTATTGGCCAAAGCAAGGCATGTGAGCAAACCCAGAATCAAGAAGTGGGACGATGTCCTCCCCACCTCTTCCATCCTAGCAGTCAGAGATACCGAAGACTTGGGGCCATTAATGCAGCCGTTCTGTTATAATATCTGTCTTTGAATACTAGCTGCTTACTAGTTGTATCCCCTTGGGCAAGTGGGTTAACTTCACTGTGCCTCAGTTTCCTCCCTGGTAAAATGGGTCTAATAGTAGGCAACCATTAATGAATTAAATTTGTGAGAATTAAATAAGAGACTGCATATAAAGCAGTGAATACAGTGCAAATGCTCAAGAATTGTTTATGATTGTTATTACCACCTTAGAGAGCTGTATTGAAGGGAACCAGTAGTTAGCGTAATGGCTATGTCGCTGGATTCCCACGTAGTCGACCATGGTTCGCGTCCCGGACCTGGTGGCTTAAAACCCACGCCGGGCGCGTGTGCGTGCATGCCCAAGATCCCAAGAGGAGAATGGAGGAGAAGGGATTGCAGCATGACCATCCCCTCTGGGGGGTGATTTCTCGCTTTCTGTCTCTATGTCTCTCTCTGTCTGTCTGGCGAGCGCACACGCCCTGTAGCGAAACCTCTCCCAAAAAAAAAAAGAGAGTTGTATTGAAAAAAATGTTATTGTTCTCATAACAACGGTGACAATTTGCTGAGCCCCTGTCTTGTGCCAGGTACTAAGGCAGGTGCTTTACCACAGCCCTATGAAGCAGCCAGGGTGAACATTGTTATCATTATTATTGTGCCCCCTTTTTTGTAATTTGTTCTATGAGAGCAAGATAGGAACCCCCAATAGGGCTTTCATTCCACAATTCACTCATTAGCCTCAGCCAGACAGGATCACAGGGATGCAAGGCACACTCAATGTGCACAGGGAGACCTCAGGATGCAAACCAGGGACCTTCCCATTTGGCTTCAGCATCATGGAGCATTATGTTACCCTGAACCACCATAGTTGGCCTATTGTGTACTCTTTAAAAAAAAAAAT